TTGCTTTCTTGGTAGCTCTCTGATATATATATGGGGGGACCCAAAAAATGGAATATATTTATAAAAATTATTTATTTTTGCATATTTAAACTTCAGTCACCTTCGAAGTACAATCCATTCAATGCAATCCCCCTATCGAGACATTTTTCCCACTGCTCAAAACGGCTTTGAACTCGTCAATTCTGATGCCTTTAGTGCTTCTGCCGGTTTTTGTTTCACCTCTTCCACATCAGCAACACATTTCCCTTTGAGGGCTTTTTTCATCTGGGGAAATAACGGAAAGTCGCTCAGGGCAAGATCAGGTGAATAGGGAGGGTGGGGCACAAGGGTCATGTCATTCTTGATCCAAAACTGCTGGACACTCAGCACGGGGCGGGCAGGTGCGCTCGTAAATCACCCATCATGAAATGGGCAAATGAGTTGAGTCTTCAAAAAACATGCAGGGGAGCCCAGTGCGGCTTCTCACCACACCATCAGCTGGTGCTTAGATACACATGGGCTCCTAGAACCCTCACCTAGTGGGGGAAGCCTGCACTATAAGGGGCTCACCCTCCAGAAGAGAATTCCAGGTTTTGAGGGGTCAGCAGAAAGGCTGGTGCAAAACGAGCTCACCACCCAACCTGACCTTTCCACATGCCTTATCTGAAGTTTTAGAGTTCGAGTTCTGAAGTTACACAGATTTGAGTTTAAAGGATTTTTTTTTTTATGCAGGTATAGCACTTAGTCTAAACCCAGGAACATAGCATACGTTCAAGTGTTGGTAATAACAATTTTTAAAGCGTTGTAATAATTTTCATTAATTCCATAAATTAGCACACACCGCCAGCCTCTCTCCGAGGCGCCCCCTGTGGGGAGTGGCGCTGGTAAAGCCCCCGCGCCCGTCTGACGCTGTGCCTCTCGGAATCTCGCCAGCGCTCCTCGGCGCTGGAACTAGGTGGCCCAGCTTCCTGCACATGTGAAACTGTTCTGCGCAGGCATTGCTATGTGCGTGCTCGAAAGTAGGTCAGCTGGAGTAAAAGAGAATTTAGCAGCAGGATCAAGGAAGTAAGTTTTGGCAAGGAAACTCAGGAACCTGGTCCCCTGGAGCAGGGCCCGGAGGGTTTGCCCCCAAGAACGTTGCCCAGCAGTAACCACTGAGGTTTGCTCTGGAAAAGGCAGACAGACCTTGGGCTGTGCTGCCTACAGTAGGCCCAAGGCCTTGTTGCAACTTTTCTTTCTCTTTTCTTTCTTTTTTTTTTTTTTTTTTTTTTTTTTGGAGAGACAGAGAGAGGGGAAGGGAGGGAAAAAGAAAGGGAGAGAAACACTGATGTGAGAAAGAAACATCGATCTCTCACAAGGCCCCAGCTAGAGACTAAACCAGCAACCCAGGCATGCGCCCGGAGGGGAAATCTAACCGAGGACATTTTGTTTTGCAGAACTATGCGCAACTGAGTCACACTTGTCAGGGCAAGAAGCTCCAGGTGCTTTGAATCAGGAACCCTAATTATTCTGGGTTCTCTTTGTAAACAGCAAAACCTTTCTTTCAAAGATTTAATTGTATTTTAATAAAAGGCTTGCCCTGCCTCACAAAAGTTAGGTTCAAAAAGAATCACCATTTATTTCTTTGTTTTTAAATGTTTTGTTTAAATGTTTTGACATGTTGCTGTATTATGCCCTTGAAAACCTCATAAGGTGGCTCTCATGTTAAACATTCCTACCACAATAAAAATTTCAAAAAATGTATAAAGTATTTTTAAGTGTTTAAACACTGCAACACTCACAACATAATTTGTGCGAGATACAAGATACAACAAGCGTGCTGTGCACCCATCACGGTGCATGTCCCTGCATGGTCCCAGCTGCCGTTAGTGCGCGAGGGGGCCGGCCACCCGGGACCCCCAGGGTGGCCTCGGAGGTGAGGACAGCAGGTTCCGGCCCGGTGCACTCAGTGGAGCAGACACAGCAGCAAACGCCGGAGGCCACAGGCCTCGGGGCCTGGTTCACACCCGACTTGGAGAGAGTGGCTCTGTAGACCTTGCACCTTGGTCTTTTCTGTGACGCAAAAGCTGCCTGCGGGGAGGCACCCGTGAGGCTCCGGACGTGGCCCCTTCCCTCCTTGGAAAGCCGCAATTCCACAGCGACACGGGGGTCAGAGCCAGAGAAACTGGTTAGAGCGCTGACGGGTGATGGCGTCCAACCACGCCACCAAACTCGGCGGAAACGCCTCCAGCCCTCCAGCCTTTGGGGCCGCCCTCTCCTCTCACCCGCCGAGCAGAGCCTGACGCCCCACGGCTGGACTGCAGCAAGGCCAGGCTGGACTGTGACGGGTAAGGAAGGCGAGCCGTCCCGGGCAGTGTGTGCATCCCGCACATCCCCGCCCTGCCGGTGCTGGTCACCCTGTGGCCTAGAGACCACGGTCTGGGCCTCGGCAACGCCCTTCTGCCATCTGGAAACGGTCTCCCACCACCCCTGCCCTGCAGGCGCCATCTGGCCCCAGCACGGCCACAGCTCCTTCTTTAATTGTTCAAAACACAGCTGACACTGTCGTTTTTGACAAGAAAATTACCAAAAGTGAAACCAATAGGAGAGAATTAGCAACACAGGAAAAATAATTAAAATTGGTAGCACATTGCAGCGTCTTTAGACTGCTTATCCCCCCGGCCTTCGCTGGGGGGTCTGTGACCTGCACCCTTCTTCCTTTCGGCCCCAGATGGCACTTCGGGTGCAGGTTCCTGCTCCTCCAGATGGTGGCCCCGCAGCGCCACACTGCTCTGCGCCTTCTGGGGCTCCAGGCCTCCCCTCTCCAACCCCCAACACAAGAGCCTGACCTCGCGATTATCAGTGTGTTCCTACTCTCCCCACCGGCCCTATTTTAGTGTCTGATCTATGGAGCAGATCTTCCAGGTTAGACAGTTTCTTTATTTAGCTGCCCGCCAACAACCAGACCTTCCCCCTGGAGGCAGCGGCTGCACCAGCCCTGAAACCAGCCCCCTTCACGGTGGACCCTGACCAGGCACTAACGTGCGCACATAGCTCGCCCTGCCGAGTATCAGCCAGTCCTGGTCTTTTCCTGTTACAAACAGTCCAGTGAATATTCTAAAAGCTAAACCTCACATGTGTGTGATGCCCTTTCCAACATCGGCTGATTTGAAGAGAGTGTCCATTTTCAATCCCTCATTCAGCACTGAACTAACTCCTAGGTGCTTACCTATAGTCTGTAAATAAAATAAGCATAAAACACACTTCCCAACCTCACAGCCCTCCTATCTTGTGGGGGGTGACAAATAAGAAAATAAACTTAAACCGCAACAATGTTAAATGTGAAGAGCAATGCTTCCAGGGAAAAACTTTCCAAGGCTCGGACCATTAACAGAGACCTGATAAGTGACTGTCAGTGTGATGTTGTTCAAGCAAAAAGGAACAGCCATCTGAGGCCCTGGGGCCGGAAGCAGTGCTGGAGTTGGGAGCCCAGCCTGGCTGAATTGCAATAGGGGAGTAGAGAGGGACAAGGGCCCAGCCTCTCAGGACTTTGCAGGCCATGTTCATTAGTCCCATCTTTAGTCTAGGAACAACAGGATGACACCGACTGATTCTGTGCAATTTTGAAAAAATTGATACTTACTGGATGGGCTACATACTATTTTACATTCCCCTATAACTTCCCGGCACTATTATCTTACCAATCTGATGGTTTTAACTTGCACACATTCCCTTTTTTTTCGATGTGTATTGTCCACACTTGTATCTGCTATGTGTTTAATGCTTGTGACCTCCCTCACAAATGCCAACCCCCAGCGTGAAAGTATTAGGAGGTGGGGACTTTGGGAGGTAATTAGGGCATGAGGGTGGAGCCATGATGAACAGGAATAGGGCCCCTCTAAGAAGAAACAGGACAGACCCTGTTTTAACTCTATGAATACCAGGAAGTGGACCTTGACCAGACACAGAATCTGCCAGCACCTTGATCTTGGACTTCCCAGCTGCAAGAGCTATGAGAGAGAAACGTTTACTGTTTAGTCACACCGTAATTTGTTAGCACAGCCCAAGCTGACTAAGAGAGTATGCTTGCCACTTCCTAATGGGGTGCTTTTTTCTTTTTTTTTTTTTTTTACTCAATTGCCTTTTTTTTTTTTTAACTCCTCAGCTGAGTTTGTTTTTTTTATTTTAGATAGAGGAAGAGAGAAACATCAAAGTGAGAGAACATCAACTGGTTGCCTCTCATGAGCACCCAACTGGGGATCAAACCTGCCACCTGGGTATGTGCCCTGACTGGGAATCGAACCCTCAATCTTCTGAGATACAAGGTGACTTTCCAACGAGCTGTGCTACCCGGCCAGGCCTGAATTGCCTATTTTTTTAATTTACTAAATAATACCTTTTTTCTTTAATCTTCCTAATTGTTTGCCTTTTGATTATGTAAGTCAAAACGTTATATACACAGCAACCTTTTTTTAGGGATAAAGGTATTTTCTCACCTCAGTATTATACAGACATTTGTCTTTATTTCCTATTACTATTGCCGTGGTTCAACTGCTCATATTCAACCATCATGTTTTCACTGACATCTATAAACTGAAACCTAATTTTACTTTTCAAAGGGTAAACCAGTTACTCCTTGAAATGTCACCATTACTGTAAGTTAACAACTTAGAGAATAATTAATTCATGGATGTTTTCTTAATCTACTGTTTTGTTCTGGCATAGTTGTATAATACATTACATGTGAGATAAAGTTCTTCCATGCTAAGTCCTCCCATCCTCGTCTGTTCCAATTTTAATTAGCTACCATGTAAGAAACTTACTCCCTTCACATGAACTATTGAGTTGGCTTATGCAGGGATTTTTTTTTTCTAAAACTATTGAAGACACCTGAAAACTAGGAGTTAGCCACCTGGCATGGAATGAGGTGAAATGACCTCGGAGACTTTCCCAACTACTTAAATTTATATAGATTTTTTGCTCATGATGCATACATTACTGAAGAATTTAAACAAATAACCCATAAGACAGTTTACCATAATTGACCTTTTATTTTAAAAAATTACAGGGAATGATTTCCAGCATATCTTATTTTATAAAAGTACTGCTTATATCAAACATTTTATATCACTATTAATCCCATTGAAGAGAGCTGCCTTTATTTTTAAAGGTACCAATTCCAAATGATGGGACACTTGCCCTTAAAATTTAAAGTTCCCATTATTTATTCAAATGTCGAAATTAAGATTATTGAGAATTTTATTGCTTTATGGTTGGGCAAGATGCTACTAGCACATGTTAGGTAAATAATCTTTTTAAAAACTATGAAGTCATTCTGTTTAAAACTTTTAGGATAATTCACAGAAAATAGATAATATTTATTCAAATTACTCATTGAAGGACAGGGTTATTATAGACACTCCTATCTGAAGCAGCTCTTTAAAGAAATAAGATGCATGTATAGGTCTGTCTGGTATAATACACATAATTGAAATTAATAAACCTGGAAGACCAATAGTGTTACGCTATGTTCTGTTAGGATCTTTTTTTAAAAAATCACGCATTTAGTAGTCCTTCTGTGCTTAAACTATTCATATGCAGAAGCTTAAAAAAAAACAAACACCTCTGTACATGATGATGATAAGGAAGTAATAAATTTTTTTGAAATTGCACTGTTATTTAAAACACGCTCCTAACGCCAGGCCCTCCTTGGCAGCTGGCAGTCTCTCAGGTCTAATTGGCAGCCTGGGGCGGCCCCTCTGGTATCAGCGAAGTGAAGAAGGTGGTGATGAAGGACCACGCGGATGCCATCAGCCCCGGCCTGGGGAGCGCACCCGCGGCGTCACCTGCATCCTCTCCACTCTCGTCCTCAAGCCCGTCGTCCATGAGACGCTCCTTTCAAACAAAATGAGAAATGGACTCCTAAGTGATTAGACAGCTAGCGTTACCTCACAACAGACAAGAAGAGAGGTAAGTACTTCCCCACAGTAAGAAGGAAGGTGGGAATAAGAAAGTGGTACATAGCTGGTCATTAGAAATCTTTGTTAAATCCAAAATTGATCACTTCCTCAGTGTCTGAGTTCCTCAGTGTCTGAGTTCCGAGGGATAACTGCCAATTTATTACAATAAATTTTCACCATGTGCATAATTTTCTTTCTAGGCTATTTTAAGGAAGAAGAACATTAGTTCTTCTCATTTAATTCTAACATATGACTAAGTTCTTCCAGATGAAACCACACAATTTATATGTTCGCTTTCCCTCCCATGTTAGTCCACAAATACTGATGGGACACCCAAGATCCTCTTGGCATGCTGGCCCCACAGAGTGCTGAGGCCGCACCTGTACTGCAAGTATACAAACCCCATCCGCATACCATCTCTTCAAGCTCTAGGTTGTTTGCATCCTGCCCATCGTTAACCTCGGCATTATTGCGGGGAGCCTGCTGCTGGCCTACTTCCTGCCTAAAGGGAAACCATCCAGCTTGGTGCCTGTTCAGCGAAATAAAAAGAAAAGAAGGCACAACAGTTTTTATTTGTAAAACTATGAAACATTAGCATCCTATAAGAGAAAAATGATCAGAACTATAATAAATGAAAAGACCATATCACCACCATTAGACTGAGAACTACCCCTCTCAAAGCAATGACAGCAAAACAGAAATCATTTTAAGTGTAAAAGTCTATCATTGGCTTAACTGGCTCTACACTAAATATTAAAACATGTCAGGAGTCATAAAATCTTTTTTTTTTTTTTTGCTATTTTTCATAATGAAATTCAACTAGATATTTGTTTGCTTCTTGGGGAATCCAGAAGCAAGGCAAAGTTAGTCTACTTATGAAGAAAAAACCTAACCTGTATCTATAGGACTTACTATTGATAATTATAATTTTTAAAAAATCCTTGTACAAGAATGAACTGGCCCTCGCCAGGCAGGTCAGTTGGTTGGAGTGCAGTCCTGACACACTAAGGCTGAGAGTTCAATTCCAGGTCACAGCACATACAAGAGGCAACCAAAGAATGCATAAATAAGTGAATGAAAACTGGATGTTTCTCTCTCTCTAAACTAAGAAATAAAAAAAAAAAAAAAAAAAAAAAAAAAGAGTGGTTCATATTCTTCCTGAAGTTCTAAATAATTGATAGAGCACACCTAGCTGAATTAACAATTTTTATAAATGACAATAAAGGGAAAATTTGCTTCTAGACAATTCTGGTAAATGTTCTCATTCATAACTGCACTGCTTCTGACGCCGGACCTATTGGCCCCGATGTCCACCTTCCCTCACCCAACATTCACAACCAACTACCGTATGTCAACCCCATCTGGACAGTTTCGGGAAGCCAGTCAAAGAGACAGCAAGCGAATGGACACCACTCACAAATAAACCAGCAGCATCGCCCCCATGACCATGACGAAGCGACTGAAGGAGGAGTAGAAGTACACAATGCTCAGGAGGACGGCGGCCCGGGAGAAGGTGTACAGCCAGTCCAGCCAGTCTCGGTTGAAGTCCTCTTCGTTCAGCACCGGCCCGCCCTGCGCGTTCATCTGCACGTTCTCGTTCACGGGCCGATTTTCTCGGGCCACTAGGTTTGGTGCGGGTGGGGGTTCTTCTCCAGGAACATGGGCCAGATTTAGGGGCTGTGAAGGTGCAGGCTGGGCAGGGGCAGTGTCCGATGTGGCCTGAGCTGAAACTGCAGCCTGACTGGAAGAATCACCAAAATAAATGTTAAAAAGGGAAACAATTTGTCATGCTACAGGACGTTTTTCGGATCTTCCTGGCTAAGCCGTATGTACATTTCATGAACCTGCCGAGGACTATCGCTGCCCCTGCCCCCCATTTCTTGGGCAAGCACAAATCTCGTGGGGACTGGGACCAAGACTGTGGCTCTCAGCCTGGGCAGGGGGGAGGGACAAGGAGTGAGAACAGCCTTGTGACTCACTCTTTCCCCCCCTTGCACCAAATACTTTGTAGGCAAGGACCCGATCTCTTTTCCAGCCTTCTCACTGAGGGCCCCTTTTGTCATTCTACATGGATGACAAAGCTTTATCCTCAGGCCCATCACCTCATCCTCAGGCCCAGGTTCCCAAAGACCTGTCCAGCAACGGACACCACTCACTACCCTGTGTGCCCACCGTCAGTGGCACAGGATGTGTATCAGTGTATTCTAGGGTATTAACTAGTCTCCAGGTAACAACCCCTCAACCCCACTGCTGACTTCCAGGAACTCCACCTGGGGTCCACTGGTCTAGATCCTTTGTCAAACTTACAAAGAATTGTGGTCCTGAAGTTTGCTTACAATTTAATTGCTTGAAAATCAGAATAAATGCGCCTATAAAAGGCCCCCAGTAAAATGATAACATATCTGAACTCGCTTTTGACTGCCCAGCTGGCGGCGAGGGAGGGGAGGGCTGCAGAACAGGGTCGCCGTGAGCTGGCCAACGCAGGGGCTGGGCGATGAGCACCCAGCGCTCGCTGTGCTGGCCTAGCCTTTTGCACGTTGAAATTCTTGTACAATCCAAAGTGCAAAAATCAAGATAGCAAAAGAAAATAAAGTTTCCTAGGCTATGAAAGCGGATTGAAGCCTGTAGGCTAAGATCTCGTATCTATCTGCACAGGGCTTTTTAGTTCCAAAACACCCGCTACCTCCTGGATATTCTCATGGGCGAGCTATTTCATGAAGCGTGAGAACCTGGGCTCCAGGGTCCAACGATGTGCGTAAGATTGGACGGTCCAGAAGCACGCTATGACAAGCCCCACTTCCCTTACACCGTTCTTGTGGGGCTGTAAGTAAGAAGGGGTGTAAACACCTAGTAGGGTGCTAAGCACAAAGCAGTTACTCAAAGGATAACTACTGTATTACCGTGGCAGCAGCGAAGGTACAAACAGCCTGCCTAGGACTATGCAAGAGAACGATTAGAATATGAGGTTGATAAAGCAGGCCAGCTCTGCGGGATATGGGGTCTGGAGGAAAGATAAGGATACAGACTTCACCCTGTAGACAAGAGAGTTGTCAGATACTTGGGGGGATGGAGAATGACTGACTTGATTATATGTAAAGCGAGTTAACCTGGCAGCAGCTGGATGAAATATAGTCAAAAGCCCAAAAGGAGAAAGAGCGACGGCAGTAAAGTGGATCTCAAATGAGAAAAGGCCTGGGAAAATATGGGAAGTAAGATACCGGGGAACGACGGAAGCCAGAAACAACGTATTAATTCACCCTGGTAACTTGCTGGGTTCAGGGATAACGGAAGGCAGAGCCAAAGCTGGGAAAGGACGTGGACAGTGATTAAGGAGACACAGAGTCATTGACGGGTCAGGCAGGAGAATGCACTGAAGAGGACGGTGCAGTCACACTTTAGACACACTGAACTTGGGGGAAGGCCAGCTCCCTGTGGAGGGTTCCAAGCATGAGGCGGAGATGCAGGGTAGAGCCGGGGATGAGGAACTGGGCGTCGTCCTGGGGACTAACAGTAAGGCCGGGGGAGAAAGGAACCCGGAGGCTGGCCCAGGACCGACTCTTGTCTGCCCTGCCAGACTGAGCATCACAAGGCACGTGGTAAGGACACAGCTCCATCTAAGTGCATGTGGAAGAGTGCTACCATTTAGAGCAGCGGCCCCCAACCTTTTTGGCACCAGGGACCGGTTTCGTGGAAGACAAGTTTTTCCACGGGCCACAGCGGGGGCAGGTTGTGGGGACAGGAAGTGGAGCTCAGACAGTGACACAAGCAAAGCTGGAAGCTTCTCCGCGTGCTCGCTCGCCTGCTGCTCACCTCCAGTTGCGCAGCCCAGTTCCTAACAGGCACGGACCAGTACTGGGGGTTGGGGGCCCCGATCTAGAGGGCTATCCAAGGACACAAAATGAGTGCTCAGAAAGATAAGAATGAAGAGGAGAACAGAATCAGAGAAACAAGGAGAGGACATTAGTGAGAAGCTGGGAATGCCAAACGCAGAGTCAGGCAGCAGCCCGCCAAGACGGCGCGCTCGGGGCTCAGCGGGTTCCACGCTGCCGGGCCAAGCCTTCCCGACAGCGCTGACGGTGCAGGAGCGTCCTCGCCACCCGAGTCCTTCGGAGACAGGCGCCTCCTCGACATGTGATTCTTTCTACCTCTTTTTAGTCAATGTCTAATCTCTTCATGGAGATTTGCTGCCTTCCAGTGAAACTTTCCTAAGTTTTGTCCTCTAAAATAGACAAAATGTTGTATTAAAGCATCTCAATATAATTAGGGGAGAGAGGGAGAGGTGGAGAAAAGGATTAGTCGATATGAACCTATTTTTCCTTTAGCCAAACAATTTTTTTAAAAGTATCTGTCGAGATGCTTGTGAACTCCTTCTCATAATAATTTTTTAAAGCTGATGAAATACAGCAGTAAATGCAATCCCAAGTGAAGTTACTGAGGGCAAAAACAGAAAAGAGAGCGCGTAGCGCAGCGAGCAAAGGAAGGGCTGGCGCCCACTTACTACTGCATGTAGTACCGGTGCGCGTACATCTGTTGCCACCACAGTGCCTGCAGCGGGCTGAACGCGGGGTACACGGGGAACCCGGCCGCCGCAGCTTGTCCGGGAAGCTGGTTGTCTACATTTCTGCCAGAAAGAGAGAGAGATGGGTCTTTCAAGGCTCTAGAAGGTGAAAGCATTTCTCTGCTTTTAACTTCTGAACTACAAGTCATCCTACTGATCAGAACCTGCACTTTACCAAGATCCCCAGGCGATTAGCACAAACATGAAAATGTGGAACGATGCTGCCCTACGCGGCTCTGATGCAGGAGCGGCTCTCAAAAGCACTGCTCTGCGGAACCCTCTCTTTCCCAAGCCACGTCGGCCTGCAGAGGAGTAAATCTGAAACACGCCTGGATTCCTGCAGAGGGCTCCCAGGAAAGTGGGGAGTAAGCGACGCGTAAGACGCCCACAGCTACCACTCACCCCTGCAGGACGTAGGGGAACTGCCGACTCTGGGCTGGGTTGGTCTGCACTTGTGGAAGGACACGCTGCCTCAGCCCTTCGGTGGACGCACTGACAGCTAGCGGCAAGGTTTCTGGACTGGACGATGGAGTTGTTGATCCTGACTGGTCTGAACTCTACAAACAGAAATGCAATGATTTTTTCAAGAAGATTTAATTCATTATAATCATGAGATTATAGACACGTTGCTAAATACGTACTTGTGAAATCCCTCTGTAAAGAGTGAATTTTAAGAATTTACTAATTTGAATCTTGAGATACTTTAAGTCTGATGAGACTGAAGACTTCATAAAAATCAAAACTTCTTAATTATACAGCAGCTTATTTATCCACTAGAAAAGGCTAAGTAGTGGAGTAACTGTATTTAAAAAAACATACAAAATCGTGAGGATTAAGCTGATACATGCCAAGTTCTTTTCACAATGCTTGAAACACAGGAAGTACTCAGTAATGGTACTAATTACTGCGGCATTTAAACACTTACTCTGTGCCCGGTATGGTATAACATGCTATTAGTAACATCCTGGTTTAAAATTATGAGGAACATGCTAGAAATCAGGTGTAGTGTTATCTCTGATATTAACAAGGAACATAACCTTAAAATTTCACTTAACCTCCAAGTCTTAGCTTTCCTACAAAAAATAAGATTGAACTAGATTTTCAAGATTCCTTTCAGTTCTAAACTTGTCAGTTTATAGATACCACCACCAAATTTTTTTAATGATGATACCAATCAGAATTTCAAAATTCTCATGCTCCAACGATGCCAGTAACTCTCCAGACTCAGTGACGTTAAACAATATAGCCCCTTGGAGCAACAGCAAACCCCAATTTGTCGCTATTTGAAAATAATTTATCAAGTGTTTTATGGAAATTTAAAACACAACCGTATTTTTTTATCAATTACAGTTCTCTCACTTAAGAACCCGAGCACAGCATGACTCGCGCACCCTCCAGGTTTGCTGAATTTGCGCGTTAGCTGCGCTGCCGTCCTAGTGATGGGGTGTGTTTTTGGCGTGTCCGCCTTCCCGTGTCCTGCCTTGGGGAAGGTCCCAGGGCATCCGTCTTTTGCAAAACTAACAAAAGCTTTCTCTACGATGTGACTCCACACAAAACAGGTATCAAATATCTTACTAGGGAGTCTGATTCCTAGGGACATGAATTTGGAAAGGCTTCTTTTTTGGCAAGATTTGTCATTAAATGGACCATAAAAATGTGGTTAATTAAAAATTAGTGAAAGAAAGGCCTGGGCATTTGGCAGCCCAGGCTAGTTTTTCTAGAACCAAGGATTTCTGGCCCTATTAGATAACTCTTTCATGACTAGATTTCTAAGCCATTTTCAAATCACTGAAATTTCTCAGTCATAATCATTAAGGGGAATTCGACTTATTTTTCTTTTGACACATTTTGGATTTTCATACTGCACCTTGAAAAACTGAATATATATATAAATGCCAGGATACCATGGCTGGGGAACGACTAGACAAGTCAGAAGATTCTTTCTCAAAAAAAGCTGAAGCAACACAACTATGGCCAAAGATTATACACAGAACGTCATGCCAATGCCAAGGTTCTGTCCCTTCCTGTGCAAGGCGAGAAAGAGATCAAGGCCCGTGGGTTTACTGACAAAACTTACTTCAGTTTAAAGTAAACCAAATTCCCATGACTGCAACTAGAGAATACTGACCACTGAGACCGTATGAATTAAATACAGCAACTAGAACATCTAGTTCTTAAGGCAGCAGCTGACTAGTATCTACTGGAAGATCTTTCAACTAGCCATCACCTCTCCACTCAGCCTCTCCTTCAAGTGTTGGCTAGATTCCTGACAAGAATTTTCTCTCGCCTCCAAGTGTGTCCTATAAAGCTTTTATGAAAAACCAAAAATAATTACAACATAAAAGGACTTGGAACAGTCTCCTTAAAACTTACAGAGAATATCTAAGCTGAAAAGTTTAACTATTAAGAAAAATTTCCAAAACAACTTTAAGTAAACGAAAAAATAAGGCAGGAAAAATGAATACCCAAATCTGAAACAGCTGAGTAGGTTAAGCAATTTTTCCTCCAGTAGTTGGAATGTATGCCCAAATCAGTCATTTTAAAAAATAAAATTTTTGACCAAGTAATCTACTTCAAGATTTGGTATACTTAAAACTCAATTTAACATACCGTAAATAAAATGTACTATATTAAACACCTCAAATCTCTGTGAAATTTTACTGGCCTTAGAGGTTATGTTATGTAACAATGTCATAATTCCGTTTTCTTTAGTATTTCAAGTAATTAAACCCCTGAGGACTGGATTTATTACTGACCCACATACACAAATTATAACTCACAGGGGGAAGGCTTCAAGGGATAGCACTGTGTATTGGATTTTAAAAACAAAGTTTAAATGCCTAAACCAAGCCATTCAAAACACAATCTCACAACCCACAAGCTCCAATTGTTCTGTTTTTTCACTTAGTTTTCAGAGGCAAAGTAAGGATAATCAGGAGCCTTGCACGCATACTCCTCCCACGACAACTCACAGAACTGCTGCCGCCGGACGCCAGAGCCTCGTGACCCTCTGTGCTGGCACTGGATTCGGGAGAGCTGGGGGGGGTCCGGGAAGTGCACACGAGATGAACCATGTGATACTCATCTTGCTAAAATTAAAGAAGATCGCACTGAAAGGGTAGTACTGGAAAAGGTGCAAGTCAAAATGTCAGTAGCAGCTAAGCTGGAATTCTGAACTCAGAACTTACTTTGCTTTCCAGCAGAGCCATTTTTAGTAAGAAATTCCTGCCATTTGAAGGTAAATTTACCATTTTAAGATTTGGAGCCCTTTTGAATTCAGTATTTTCTCCATGCTCGGGAAAGTGGCCAAAATACTCAGTAAATGCTATGTGAAAACAATTATTACTTTGTATACAAAGGAGCCTTGAAGCAAGCAGTATTGTAAAGGTGTGTCAATACAATCTATGATTTCAATATAAAGACATCTAGCACCTTAATATCAGAACTGTAACACTCACATCAAAGCTTAGACCTGCAAACTTTGAGTAGTAAAAATTTCCATTACTTAAGACTTTGCAGCTATAATAAATAAACTCAATCAATTTCACCATAATCTCATTTCCCTTAATTTTAGCAAGGTAATGTATAGTTTATTTTTTAAGTCAAAACTGATTTTATATTTATATAAAGCATGTATTTGAACTAAATTCTGTAACTATCCCATGTTTCCATAAACCTACAAGTATGACTAAAGAAAAATATTCTAATAATGATAAGGGTTGACATTTTAGCTTAGTGATTATATGAGTATAGTTATACTTAGGCATAAAGCAAGGAAATAAGATGGAGAAGGGGAAGAGAATAGAGGAGGACAGAGAAGAACACAGGACAGCTCCGTGACTTAAAAAAAAAAGAAGAAAACAGAGTTTGATAAAGGAAAGGAGGCAGGAAGGTAAGGAAGATGCCCAGTTGTGAGAAAGAGAAAGAACGCAAGTAGAAACTAAGACTTTATCAGCTGCCTACCATAAACCTAGAATTGTGCTGAATTCTGAGGTGGATCCCAGCCAGTAAAAGCTGCCCCTCACCAAAGAGGCTCTCACACTGTTGAAAGATCAGACTGGGGCATGAGAGCACAACCAGAGAAATGTATAACACAGTCTTCTGTACAGAACCGAGACGCACAAACTACCATCGCTTTATTGAAGAGTTTAAAGAAAGAAGCGAATGGGGGTTAGAGAGTGAGGAAGAGGCGTTTCCAGAGATGGGGCGCCACAAGACGTGCCTCGCACGGGAGACAGGAGGCACTGTCTTCCTGGTGTGCCGTGTCCCCTTGGCTTCAGAACAGAGAACACTAAAAAGCATCCAAGTATAAGATCTGCTAAGTAGAAACCTAGCTGCAAAGGCCCTATTACTCAGATTAACCCATAATATTCATTCTCACCCACCTTTGGGGGAAGCTCCCATAAAACAGTTCATAACAAGACAGACATGTAAAGCTAACAGCAGCATTTCACTGAACATAGGAGGAGTACACTGACTTTAACAAAAACAGTCCAAAGGGCTATTAAAAATGTAAACATGCTATTCAAAATGTTTTATGTGAGGGGCCAACAGTCCTCTGACTGAACCATTTTTATTTTTAGTCTTCTGGTCAGAAACAATTTCTGGCAGCAAGAACCTTTTAAAAAAGTATTTGTATGCAAACTAGCTATCTTTGCATTAAAATAATAAAATAAGTATCTATTTCAAAGAGTATTTATATAGCAGTAGGTTTTCAAGGATAAAAACAGGGAGAACAATGAAAAGGCACAGAGGATTTTTAGGGCAGTGAAACTATTCCGTAGGGGCACTACAGCGGTGAATGCGTGTCATTATATATTTGTCCCAACCCACAGGACGTACAGCACCAAGAGGGAGCCCTAATGTGAGCTACGGGCTTTGGGTGGCAGCGATGTGTCCATAACGTAGGTTCACTGACTGCAACAAGCGTACCCCTCTACCATGGAATGGGAGCCCGTGCACACGTCGGGTGCGGGGTATACATGAAATCTCTGTACTTCCACTCAACCGAAAGCTGCTCTAAAAAAAATAAAGTCTATTAAAAAACTGAAGAGGGAGGACCTGCTACAAATTCCACTATTTTTGAGGGAGAAAGAAGATATTAAACCACCTTGGCAACCTGAAATTACATGATTAAAAAGAAAATGACAGCAAGAAGTCACACTGGCAAAGTTAAAATGTCAACCACCTAAACAGAAGGCACATACTGGTATAAGATTTCTTACAGCTCCCCACAGGTCATCATAAACAGAAAGAAGAGGAGAAAGATTTCCTAAATCAGGTCAGGGAGGCCCAGAGCAACATTAAGAGTTAGGTCAAGGGGGTTGGGGGTTCGTGGAGGTGGAAGAGGATATAAGGGAGATAAATGGTAATGAAAAAAATACAATTAAAAAATAAACTATTAAAAAAAAGACTAAGGTCTTTGTCAAAGGTCTAAGACAAAATACCAAAGTTATATATTCAGCTTTGCTACATTCACAAACAAAAAGCAGTATGGCAAATGCAGAAGTTATAAAAGCATAAATTCCACAAATAAACATGCATTAAAAAGCGACCATTTAAAAAAAAGAAAAAAGCACTCTAGCTGATTGTCAAAATACTATATTGAAATATATTTTAGCTCTAAGCACCAACATTCGAAGGTTGCTAATTGATGCCCCCCTGGCTTCCTGCCACTTCTTGCCCTGAAGTTAAACTCCTAACCCAAGCAACTTGCATTACAGTGTCACGCAGTTTGGTCAAAAAGGGACCCAGGACAGCAGGCTGCTCTCAGTGAAAGGCTCCACCACACCTTGAACACTCTGCTCCTGCACTACTGATACGTTGACAGCGTTTTCTCACACAAAAGGCCAAATACTTGAACATAACTATATAACCCTATTTCAAATTTAGCTATCAGAGAGATATGCTAAACTGCTACCTAACCTAATTGAAATCTATCATTACGTTCTTTACACTCTAATTCATGCTTACCTGTTATGTCACCCAAATGGGTTGATTTTAAGTATCTAAAAACTGAACTGGTTGGATATGGATAAAATTTCAGAGCGACTCTGCTCTCATACTCTGTGTCTGTAGCAAGAAGTGGTAGAGATCTGCTTACTTTTCTGAGAATGTCTTTCAGCTGCAGATGATCGGGAAGCAGTCTGCCCGAATACACCAATCTCTGATCCTTCGTCAACTAAGAAATGGGACAAAGAAAAGAATTCAACTTTTTCTAATTATACAAAATAAAGGTTGGGAATAACATGCCTAAATATGGGCAAACTCTCTTTAGGCACAAAATAAGCAGAAAACTGACATAGTTTAAGAATTTTGTTTTTCCAAATTCCATTTAAGACCTTAAGAGCTCAGCAATGGTAGCATGTTTATTGTAGATACAATGAAATACAGATAATCACCAAATTTAAAAAACAGAAAAAAGCTAAAAATGGAAATTTGTCTTTTCAGCCATAATGCAATGCATATGTGACTATCATTATAAATCCTCAAACTATCAACGAGAACGTAGCTGGCTTTCTATTAAAAGTCAACAACAGGATAAAATCTGAAAGTCACCAAAGGTGTTTTGTATTGTTTTTTTCAGTATTTTTCATCTGAAAGTATATGTAAGATTTATTTTTTTCTTTACTAACATTATGCAGAACACTTCATTGGTTTTAATTCAAAAGCCATTTAATAGTTAGGGCTGTAGGTAGTTATTTAATAGTTTTTATTATTCCTACCACTCTCATGAAGAGCTTTGCACATTTTTTCAAAAACATGAGACTAAAGATAAATCAGCTCAATTGCATGGAGATACAGTTGCCTTCTCTGGAAGCAACCCCCAGGAGGAAATAGGTTCTGGGTATCTCTGCTCTATTTTGTACTTATGATAAATCTGCTAAGAGTTCCCACTGCCAACACTGAATATTTAAAATTAAAGCATTTATGTATAGTCCCCATAAGACATCCTATTTCATAATTGAGAAACAGGCAAATGTTCCTTAAAGTCTATTGAAACAATTAAATAGTAGCTGTATCAACCATTCTCACAAATGTCAAATCCAAGCAATACTACCACAATTTTTAAATAGACTATATAATCAACATGAGTAAAAGAGGTTTGTATAGTAAAAATAATCACAATAGAAACTGCCATAATGAATAAGATCTATGGGTCCTTAGGTACCAAACATTAAGGGTTTTGGTTTAAATATCATGATGAACTTGTAGAATTTTATGATTTATATTGTACTGCCATTTAAGTTCTCAAATGATACTATCTTTTGTTGATAGGAGCCCAAGTTGGCTCCTGTGTCATTCTGAAATGACCTCTCTAGTCTCAGATGGCTTCTTGCTTCTAGGCACAAAATGTCCCGGGTGCCTCTGCCAGGAGCCTTGATTCCTTTAGTCTAAAGACCAAAATCTGGGATCTAAGAGTACCTTCCTGTTAGTTGTCATTATTTTTAAGATTCTTCATTAAGGAAAGCTAGAAAATGTGTATTTTATTTTAGAAAGAGATACTTTAAAAGTTCACAGTGACATTTCCAAATTAAATTAAATATGGCAGTTTTGCCTTGAAAGTCTCACCTGCTAAAGACACTAACAAACATATGCCATTAACAAACTTACTTACATGCTTCCTCCTACTATATACAATCTCAAAATAAGAACAACAGTATCAGGTGAAGTTTAAACTTTTTTGTGGCTTTCTCCAGTCCTTACATATGTCCCTCTAGAAATACAGAGTTAAAAGACTGCACTTCCAAATTAGTGGGGATAATTCCTCTTGTAGTTCTGTCCCCATCCTGACATGAAATCATTCCATTACTGCGTTACCATTTAGGAATTCCTTTCTCCATTTAATTTTTTAAATTAAATTATATGGCAACAGCGTAAAAATTACAGAATGATGTCTATTCAAAGAGGGTCAGTGTCTGTCCCTGCTCCCTCCCCCCATTCGGAGTTACCCCCCCATCATTCTTTTTAGCACCGCCACAGATCTGAGCGTGAACACAAGCATGTCCTTCCTTTCGCGTATAAAAAGCAGTGCGCCATACCCACTCCCCTGCGCCTTCCTCTCTCACTTACGCTGCGCGGGAGACGACATTGTAGCAGCATTCGGACATCTTCCCCATCCTCTCGGACTGGTGAGTAAGGCTCCACTGCATAGAAGCACTACAGTTTACTAATGGACATTTGAGTCTTTCCAGGCTTTTGTTTTTATTCACAGAGTCCTCCTTTCATACTATCCTATTTATTTCTGTGCTCCCTCAGACTATCCTGCAGCATGGAGGTCCCCTAGCGATCTTGGTAAAGCAATCTTGGTGGACAGTAGGATAAAAACTTAACTGAAAGGGATATTAGAGAAAAGGAGAGGAGTACAGTTAGAGACAGTGAATATATACAACTTATAAGGGTTTTGCAATAAGGACAAGGAAAGAAATAGAGCGACAGCTCTAAGAGAAGTGGAATCCAAAGAGGGTCCGGGCCTTGGCCGGTGTGGTTCAGTTGGTTGGAGTGTCGTCCCATACACTAAGAGGTTGTGGGTTCAATTCCCAGTCAGGGCACATACCTAGGTTATGGGTTCAGTCCTGGTCTGGGCGCGTACAGAAGGCAACCAATCGATGTTTGTCTCACATCGATGTTCCTCTCTCTCTAGAATCAATAAATATATATCCTCAAAAAAAAAAAAAAAAGGAGGCTCTGGTCTTATTTGTTTTACTGTTTTGTGTTTTTGTTCTTTTAGGATAGAGAAACAACATGTTTATATACCAATAGGAATAATCTAGTAGAATGGGGGAAAAAAACTAATGATGCAGGAGAGAAAAACAGAGACTTTAAAAAGCGATGATCTTGAGTAGCCACCAAGGGGTGGAAGAGTTGGGACTTACAGATGAACACAGCAGAGACAGATGAAGAAAAGAAACTTGTACAAGACCCCGCTACCACCACTCTGTGCCTCAGGTTCCTCATCTGTCAAATGAGGACAATAGTAGTATCTATTTCACAGAAATAAAATGCACATAACAATGAAAACGCACAGAAATCTCTCAGAATGCAGCACAATACCCTCCTAAAAAATACATCAAACAAAAACCAGGGGGAATGCTGATGGGAAGGGGGTGCAGGGCAGAGGGGACAGGGGAGAAAATATGGGATAACTGTAATAGCATAATCAATAAAATACACTTTAAAAAAAAAAACCAAGTGTGGGCCAGAATGGGGAGAACAGTGGAACCCTCATCCACTGCTGGTGAGAGTGGCCATGGAACAGCCGCTGCGGGGAAGTCTGGCGTTTCCTCAGGAAGCTGAACACAGAGTTACCATGCGGCTCAGTATATACCCAAATGCACACAAAACTTGTTTGGGAGCGTTCAGAGCAGCGTCATTCACAATGCCAAAGAGCCGAAACAACCAAACATGTCAACTGATAAATGAACAAACAAAATATGATAAATATGTACCATGGAACATTATTTGTCCATAAAAAGCAATGAAGAAGTGATATATGCTGTAACATGGATAAACCTTGTTGACGCTACAGTAAGTGAGGAGAGCCAGACACGAAAGGCCACCAATACACTATGATTCCATTTATATAAAATTTCCCGAATAGGCAAATCCAGGGACAGAAAGTAGATTCGTGACCACCAAGGACTGGGGGAGCAGCGACCGGGCCCGACGGCTCGTGGGCGCAGGGTCTCTGCTTGGGGTGATGAAAATGTCTGGGACCACAGAGCGGTGACACATCCGCAACTCAGCGGGCTACTGAGAGCCGCTGAGTCGCACATGTTGGGGCAAATTTTACAGTGCGTGAATTACACGCCAGTAAAAACTACTGTTGCTTTAAATTGAATATTCTTTAGATAAGCTGAAGTTTTAAAAGGAAAAGGAATTATTTAATTTTACTGTGGTTGAAAATAGAGAAAAAGAAATTTTCATGTGCCTAAATTAGATAAGAAAATTTATGTTGCTAAAAAAAATTGCCTCTTCAATTTAAATATCATTTAACTTAAATATCTGAAAAACCAGTGGTTAGATATGATAGCAAATAATACAATACTCAATTGAACTTTCATCGAGTTATTTTAGATTGTAAGTATTAGGAAAAGTACAGATTTTGAGATCTCAATTCAAATTAAATTTTACTTATAAAGGTGACAATTTTATTCATGCAGACCTGCTAATAACAACATCCTTTACCTTGATTGAAAATCCATTTCTGTATTAATTAGGGTAAGTGATACTAGCTGCTATAGCAAACCCTAAGATCTCAGCGGCTTAGCACAATAAAAGCTCATTTTTCTCTCAATTAAAAAAAAAAAAAAAGATTGCATGGCACCTTTTAAATATAAGAGTTCAGAAGACAGGACTAGTAAGTCTAAAATAAAGCACTGATTAGACTGCCAGTTAAATGCTCCTGCTGTTAAGAGACTGGCCGCACAGACTGACACATAAACACACTTGGCCGTATCTGTGAAGGGCGTAGCCGTTCTCCCCGCAGCTCACCCGCCACATCAAGCCGCCAGCAAATGCCAGCAGGCACAGCACTGCCAGGCCTGGCCTGCTCCGTCCTGGAGGAGCCTGGTGACGTGTGCGACAGCAGAGGCAGCTGAACGACCTGGCTGGAGACGTCCAAGTGCTACTGAGCAGCCCAGGGACAGACCTACACCCCTCAAGCAAGCAGCTGCTTACCCAGCTGACCCACACACTCTGCCACCCACTACACAGACCTGCCAAAGACCAAGGTGAGGCGAGCTCGCCGCTGGACAACGTGCACATGTCAACCCTAAACTGGGGAAGGGTATTTTTCTTTCTAAAAGCTTTACGAATATTATTATCTAAAGCATCTAACTTTTCACCATTTTATCAGATATCAAAAGCAGATAAAATGTTATGCATCACTAATGTATTTTAGATATTCACAAGGGTCTGGCAGTTGACTTTTACAAAGCTGAACGACACTTTATATTTCTAGAAGTCACCTTCTTGGTATCAAAAGATTAAATTTTTTTATGTGAAGAATTACATGGGTCTCTCATAATTATCTATGGCTCAGAAAAGCATGTTCTTCATAATCAAATACCTCAGTAAAAGCAATCTATAACTTTTATGTTAGTTCAAAGAACTATGATCCAAATCCTTCGAAAGTAGTAACTATTAACATTTCAGTACTTACATATAGCTGTCAAGTCAAACAACTTTAAAGAGCTGGTTCCCACGACACGCACAGAACATCATTTCTGTGGGAAATGAATTCTGTGCATTTGTACTGGAACATATCTCGCTCTCCCACTAAATCCAGGAAATTCCGAAACACTGTAAATGGAAGCATAGTTTACTCAAACTGTCTCTACCCCTTATCTCCTTGCAACAACTGTAAGCAACACCAGCATACAGCACTTAAAGAAGAATTTCCTCCAGATTTCCTACAGAACTTGCCCTGCTCAGCTGTTTGCACTCACAGGCCATTCACAAATCAGGTGGACGTACCACAGAGCATGCCAAAATACATGGCTGCCGTGGGTCACACGAAGGAGCAGGGATGTGACAAGATAGGCAAAAGCAATGTGTTTTGAGGTCTTAAAATACTATGCTCCCATATCTTCCGTATAATTTATCAAAATAAGCAGAAATAACCACATACTAAGTTGATATTCATCAGAACAGTATTAAGGCTACGTTATGCATTCATCTGTAGCCACTAGATGACAAATCATCTAAACAGACACCTCCTTTTATCGTTAATTTGCGAGTATACAGCTGAGGGGGTCAAGTGCCTAAAGGCCTTCCTTGATCTTATTCCATGCGACCTTCATACATAGTGTGAACTGTAACGGTTAAGCGCTGAGGCTTGCTAATCAGACAAACCTGGGTCCAAATTCCAGCGCAACATTAGCTCTGAAAGAATGGTTTTTTTAAAAAGATCTCATCTTATCTGCATAAGACTCTCATCTAAGAAAAATGTCCCTGTGGACCTTATCTTAAAACAGCTCCACTTCCCTTCCCCCGAACCGCAGAGCTGACCACCGTCCCTCGGTGCCCCCGCTGCGCCCGGCACACCCGCTTTGTACAGCACTGGTCCCGTAACATCACCGTTACTTACGTTCCTGCCTGCGTCCCCCACTGCACCTGGGCTTCAGCAAAGGACCCTTCCGGCTCGGCACGTAGACGTTCGAGTGCCAGGTCAATAGACTCCAAAATAAATAAATAAATGAAGCCCACGAAAGTGTGCTTGGGGTGGGGTAGTATATTTTTTGTAGGTTTACGGAGGGGGAGGGAGCTGAATTTAAAATATCATGTGGAGATCATCTGTGCTTACTTCAGTCTCTGACCTTAAAACTAGAACCTTAAGATTTCACACCCTGAATTCCATTAAAAGCATGCAGACACATGATCCATCCTCGTAGGGGTACTGAAAAGACAACTTCAAATCTCCATTCCTCTCCGTCTAGCAGTTCCCATTTATTTTCCTAGAAGCTGCTGCGCACAGGGACCAATGCCCTCTGCCTGCCCAGGCCCCGTCGGCCCCGTCGGCCCCGTCGGGGAGCCGTGTTGCCCAGGGCCATCGCCTTTTCTGCTCCTCACTGGGCACTGGAACCCTCCTCTGCTTCCAAGTCCACCCTCCCCCACCAGGCAGCTGTGCACAGAACCAGGCATCAGAAACAATCTCTGTTAAACAGCAACACAGCACTTGAGACACCTCAACACAGAATAATGTTAAGTAGTCATTGTGGGTGGTCCTAAGAACCTAAATTTCCTGTATAAATGCATTCTATTAGTCATGTAACACTGCTTATATTGCAAAATGTTCTCTGTTCTAATTAACAGCCTTACCAAAAAAAAAACTTGTAGGACTCCAATTTCTGTATCAACGACTACCCGTGGCTTTGGGGTCTCACTGGACACTCGGTCTGTTTAACAACTGTGATGTGGTGAGGCAGAATGTAAGCCTGTCAGCTCCAACCACCGCACAGTTTCCAGTGAAGTTCTATGGAAATAAACACACGCGCCCCGCCCCCAGGTCCTCCCACTCTCTTTAACCTACAAGTAACCTTCTCACATTCACTTAGCGAAGACTTGCTGGAGGAGGAAAAAAGCCAGGTTTGCCTCAAAGTTGGTAGTTAGGCCACTACCAGCCTGCATGCTATTTGTACAGCCTGCACACGCCTCTCCAGGGTGTTCCAGCGGCAGGGAGGGCGGCGGGTGGGGGGGGGCGGGGTAAAAAAGTCTGCAACTGATCTGTCCCCAGCGGCCACAACCCACAGCACTGCCAGCCCAGCGCTGGAGATTAGCGCCCTGAGGGGTGCCAATAAGGCACCCGGGTTTCACACTCCTCTCCGAGTTTTTACAAAAAAAAAAAAGCAAGTTTTAGAAAACTGCAACTCTTGGTCTATCACGGTGCAAACTAATGGTTTAGTCATATAATAGAAAGGCGCTCACACAAATGCGACCTGGAGCACATACACTGAGACAGGCGCTGCTCAGGAAGGGCATCCGCCGTTAGGAAGAGTGCTGTGGAGCCCATGGCTTTCCACTCTGACTATTCTGAAAAGCTGTTTTCCACTTTGAAAATGTGCCAAGCGAATCATATGCAGTAGGAAATCTTTTGCAAAGCAGACAATTTTAAAACAGCTATTCCCTGTGTAATCTTTCACTTTCAAACAAAAGACTTGAATAAATGTGAGATCCAGCTAGTTTGTTCCAAGTATTTAAATACCTGAGCGCTTTTATTTCCTCTACTAAAAATATTTGTATCACAAGGTACTGACAAACACAGCTAATGCCAACCAACTAAGAATTGTTTTTCTAAACCTCCTATTTTTGCATTAGCCACAGTATTTCTGTAGTTATTCTAGAAATCTAAACTAACTAAACTTAATACTGCAACACTGAAACAGTCCTAATTCATCAGTATCTGAATATAGATCAAATGGCCTTCTTTACTTATCAAGACTTTTTAATTATCAACGATGCCCTTTCAGATCTACCTTTGGGGACAGACGGAGCTATACTCTGTATTTATCTTTGCAATATGCAGATAGGATTCAGAATGGAAAACGCTGCCACATTGATTTACAAATGATGATATGAACGGAATAAAAAGATGTACCAAATGGTAGGGGGGCGGGGGTGGAAAGGCTGTTCTCTTCTAAATTAGTGAAATTTCTGTATCCTGTACAAGAGAAAAATGAGGAAGAGAGGGGGAGAGGAAAGGGAACCTAAAGCTCATTACTCTTTGCTTCTTAAAATATATATATTACTCTTGAAAGTGTAATTTTTATAGGGGTACATACTTATTTCCAAGAAAAAAAAAATTGCTCTTCAACAGTGAGCAAATATCTGGGCCCCAGGGTGAAAGTAAAAAGCAATTTTAGTCTAATAAGCAGTAAAGGCTTTACTATGAATTGTAGTGGGGTTTTTTATCTTTTTTTTTTTAAGGATGTAACTGTCATCCCCTATCAGGTTGGTGACTTTAAGTCCAAGGAAAATGGCTTTTTTTATACCTGCCATTTCTTACGTCCCTTGGCATTTCTGCCTACTCTTACTAATTAACTGAACCTCAGCAGGAAGCTATTAATGATGACTCGGACACTCAAGAGGCACACACATTATTGGGAACTCAGAGTCCCTCGCAGGCTAGTGACTCAAGAGGGGCGGGGGCGAGCGAGGAGCCGGTGAGGCCGGGGCGCGAGAGGCTGCGGCCCGGGCCGCTGCGCCAGCCTTTCGACACTTACTGGTTTGCTAGGGTACACGTTAGACAGATGCGTTTTTAGTTTCCCCACGGTCCAGTTCAAGAAGCAGCTAATAGTCTGGTCCCTGTATTTCTGATTCGGCGCTTTAATGATGAGGGTCACAGGAATCTCCATCCCACTTTGGTCCATGGTGACCCCAAAGCCGAAGCCAGTCAAGAGGAGCAGCAGTGAAGAGCCCAAAGGAGCCGAGGTGGTCACTCCCCGCGCGACTGGGGTGGGGACGGAAGCGAGCGGGTTCTTAATATTCCGTGTCCAAGTCAGTCACAAGTGCATCGGGCGATACAAAGGCCATTGCCGGGACCGAGGGTGATGGACGGTGGCGGCGCTGGCGTCGGGAGGCCCGGCCGCGGATGCAGCGTTCCCCTCCAGGTCCGGGCTCCGCTAGGCTCCACCGGACTGCGGGGGGGCGGCGCGGGGAGAGAGAGAAACCGGTGAGAGGGGAGGAAAGGAGGGGTGGGGGCGCCACGGCCCGGGCCACCGCCCCGCCCCCGCCGCGCCCCCCGAGCTGAAACGCAATAAGGCCCCTACGCGACGGCCCCGGCGCCCGGCCGCCCAGCGGGCAGAGGTACCTGAGAGCAGGCCGCGGGGCCCGCCGCCACCGCCGTCCGCGCCCGGGTAGGGCCGCCGGCCGTACAGATGGGCCGGGCGTCCTACGCGGCGGCCGCTCCCTTCCTGCGGCTCAGCAGCGGCCACGGCCAGCCCCGGGTCTCGCGAGGCGGCGCGATGGCCGCGGGGAGAGCTGGCCGGAGGGCGCGGCCCGCGGTCCGCCCGATCCCTCGGGCGGGGCAGGAGCACGGCAGGGATGGGCGGCGGAGGGCCCGGGCCGGCCCGGCCCGGCGGCGGCAGGTGGCAGGAGGGCGGGGTCTAGAGCCGAGGCGCCGGCCGACCGCGCGCCCGTTTTGTTGTTGTTGTGAGCCGGGTCTGGGGGGCCCTTTAATCCGGAAGACGCAGGGCGGAAGTGCGTCACGCGCGGCTCTCCTGAGGCGCCGCCGGGGAGACGGTACCCGCGACCGCCGCGCCGGGGTTCCCCCAGGGTGCCTTCAGGATGCCCGGACACCCCGCGACCGCTCGGGCGCGTCGGAGCGCACCTGGCCTCGCCTCTTGTTTGGCCCCGACTCCCGTCGCCCCTCCGGCCTCACCACTAGCTTAGCTGGCGTCGCGCTATTTTATTTGACCACACCCTGAATGTTTGGGAAGGGTTCCTCCACCCTAAGAGTTGTCTCTGCAAAGTTAGTATCCTTCCTGACGCTAAATCAAAATTTCTGTGGGTCGACTGTCTTGCATAGCACAGTACGAGCACCTTTGGCGGAGGGGAGACCGTGCGGGTACACTGCATAAGGCACAAAGGCTTTCGGACGAACCTGAAACCTACCTCCATGTGCCACTCTAGTTAACTCTCTGAACCTGTTTGCTTCCTCTCGGTGGAGGTGCGACGTCTACCTAACGGCGCTCTGGTGAATCAGTGAGCAGTGTGTGGAAACCACCTGGCACGCTCTCAGATGTTAATTGCCACTTCTTTCCTCTTAGTCTTCGCAGAAGTTGACGCGTGTGTCCTGAGCACCTACTTCGGGCTCAGCACAGTGGTAGATGAATAGGATGGAAGCGTAATCTTTCCGTTTTATGGCTTAGACATGGGAACGCAAAAGTTAAGTCCACTGCCCAACGCTGACTTACTCTCTCATTTTCTGCACCAGTTTGGGAGTGAGGGCAGCGAGCTAAAGTTTGTTAGGTGGGCATTTTCACAGCTCCAGGCTTCCGTTTCAAGGAGTTTGCCCACAGATAATATAGAGGACTTTGGGGAGCTGGTCTTTGGCTCTGTGTCAGGAGGATTAGTGAAGGTTAGCTACCACCGTGTTAGTGACCACGGGGAAGTTCTGCATCTCAGCAGCTCGCACAGCAGGATCCCGTACACCTCTCCTCCTTTACCTGATTCTTTCGCATACGATACCTACCACCGCCATATCAGCTACACCCTCTCAGTGCTCGTCTGAAATAAGGGGAAGTCCCCTTCGTTTCTTTTCTAGAATAAGGGCAGCTTGCTCAGGTTTTCTGTAGCAGAAATCTGCTCTTTTCCTGCCTAGTATCTAGTCATCGTAGTGGAATCTTTGTTCTAGCTTAAAAAAAAAAAAAAAACAACACTTTTTTAGACTGCCTTAGGCCTAGGGACAGCCATTTGACACGACTCTAGCCAATATGATGAAAGTTGCACTTGCCCCTGGGGCTTCTGGGAGAGACTTGACATGGACACCTTCTGCAGATCAGTGCACATCTTTGCCCTACAGCTGTCTTTCTTCCCGGAGCAACAGAGGTGCGGCAGCCACAGTTCAGTCATAAAACAATAAACAGGAGCGCAAAGACCTACCTTCCAGAAACGGCAGAGCAGCCCAGAGGCTGGATCTTAGTTTATGGCATCATTGTGCCACCATATAAGTCCCAAACTGTCACCTCTACTTCCTTTGTTTTTATTTTGTCTAATTCCTGTTTAAGCCAGGAAATCTCCACAGCCACCCAAACCTGCAGATCTTGTCACTTACGGTCGTGACTCAGACTTCCAGGAATCCTTTAGGGTCATGGGGTCCTTTCACTTGGCACTGTGAAATGTATAATAATGAAATTATTAATGAGATATACGTTAATAATTATTAATATTAAAACAAGGTGCACTTCACTATGATAAGCATTATGTAAAGGAGAGTCCATCAAAAGTTCACAAGCTTGGACAAACATATTTAAAAATGTAACGAACATTTGAGAGATATATATGGATATAAAAATGATAGGGGGTCTAAAAAATGATTTTTTTACTTTAAAGCCACCTGAATTAAGCGCCTAAAAATGCTTTTAATGCTGTTGACCTTGGCCACAATAAAAACAGTACATAAATATGATACCATTTTAGTGTTAAATTGTGTACACATGTTTATAAAACAATGAAAGAGTAATCCCCAGAATACTGATAGTGTTTAACTTGGAATTCAGGGCAGGAAAAATATATAGTACTGAGGAAATGCAAGATAGCAGTTGCTTCCCTGACCAGTGTGGCTTGGCTAGGCATCGTCCTGCAAAGTGAAAGATCACCAGTTCAATTCCCAGTCAGGGCACATACCTAGGTTTCAAGTTCGGTCCCAGCCGGGGTGCACGCGAAAGGCAACCAATCAATGTTTCCTTCTCACATCGATGTTTCTCACCATTTCTTTCTCCCTCCCCTCTCTCTAAAAATAAATAAAATCTTTTTTTAAAAGATAGCAGTTACTCAGAGGCTGCTATGAGCCTTGAGCCGCCTATTTAAAGCATTGCGCATCACAGCTAAGAAATGGAAATATAAAGGAACGATTGCACATCTCAGTTACCATTTGTTACCTAAGGACAGCCTGTAATGAGAATGCGTAAGCGTATGTTGCTAATGGATAACAAAGGACTTGTGACTGTTAAGACAAAATCTACTTTAAGAATGTTAACTATTCAGTACATGTGATCTTAGTGGTTAGTTCTGGAATCAGGTTGATCTGCCATTAGGGTAGCTTTCTTTGTTAACAAAGTAAAACAGATTTTTTAAAAATTATTTGTAAATAATAAAAATTGATTTCCAGTATTTGTGGGATGTTTATTTACTTCCAATTATTTTAATCTTTGGGGGTGTGAAGGACAGCTAGAAAAGCCTATATTAATACATTCTGTTAGATTCCAGTTTCTTTTAATATTTTAAAGAAAATAAAATGCTTGTTACTGAGTTTTTCTTACAGAAGTTTAGAATAACTTTCAGGGAGATAAAATACTTTATTGATATTTAATAATCTAGTTTGCGATGTTTTGATTTTTGTCTTGTTTTTGGTTTTGTTTTTGATAACTCTTGGGAGGAAAGACTTTATAAAGTCAAGTGATGATCTTGCAGTTGCAAATTTCAAAATGCTGTTAGCCATCTGGCTTCTGATTCCTTCTATTTCTACTCACACCAAACTTGTCTTTTCCTTAAAAGAAATGTTCTACCACAAAGCATCTAATCAAATATTAATCAAGTTGATTGTTGACAAACAAATGAAATCCTACACTTGAAGCCTAGAAAAATTAGCTCATTTCAACATTGCATTCTCAAAATCTTAATTAGTCCCAGATGTTTGATTATAGCCATATCATGGAAAATGGAAGGAAGAAAACCACATATGTATCACATGGCAAATGGGAGAGATGCGTGATGTGTCATTGAATGAATTCTCAGAACAGCCCTGGAAAGAAGAAAGGACAGTGATACTTGGAAATGCTAAGTGCCTTGCCCCAAGTCACACAGCTTGTAACTTCCAAGTAGCGTTCTCACCCCTCTGTAATGCACGCTCTTCCCACTACACTGCAGTTTCTGATTTAAAGGTATTCATGCCTAAGAAGACACACGTAGGAGGAAAAGGTTCTTGGGACCAACATCTCTGAGGTCCTCTAGATCCGTTTCCCAAGTACTGCCCGAGTCATTCCTACCTCATCTCTGAGGGGCAATCAGCCAATTTCAGGTTAAACCCTTCCCAGGAGAGGGAACGCCCTAGTTTTCACCACAGCACGGCCTGTTGATAAACAGCTGCTGTTGTGATTAGAACCTCCATTCCTACAACTTCTCATTAAGCCACTTTTCTCCTCTTGATCAACCCCAAATATAAGTCTTATTCCACATGCCGGCCCTTCAAATGTGTAACTATTAAATGCTCTCTCCCTATATCTTCTCCAAACCAAACAGCTGCAGACCCTTCAACCATCCTCAAGAATAGTTTCCAGATCCCTCAAAATACTGACTCCTCTTTGCACACACTATTTTGTATCCCTTTCATCAATTATGGTAACCAGAATGAACATTTAGACCCATTGTAACTTCTCTAGAATAGCCTTCATAAGGATATACCTGTTATTTCTGTTAATGTCTGTAATAACAGAAATCTTCATGAGCTAGTTTAGCAGTTGGATGTCCTGCTTTTCAGAAATGACATGTCTAGTCAGTGCCTAGCACGGCTGTTTGGCTAACACAGAAGTCTGTTATTTCTCTGACAATTCAATCTAGTGACTTATTTATGATACTTGAAGAAAATTGTAGCTAAAGAGCAACATTGACTTCCCTAGGTGACCAGAGAAGGGGGGGAAGGGACCAGCCCTTTTTAGAGAATTTTGACCTATGTGTATACAGTAGTTGTCTATTGCTACAAAACAAATTCCTTCAAAACTCTGGGTCAGGATCATGGGAGCAGCGCAGCTGATGGGTCTGGTTCGAGTCTCTCGTGACATTGCAGTCAAGATTGCAGATGGCATTCAGTGACCTGGGGGGCTTGATTCGGACCGGAGGATCGACTGTCAGCTGGCAAGTGGGGCTGGTTGTTGGTGTGAAGTCTCAGTTCCTCCCCTGCGGGTCTCTCCACAGGGCTGCTGGAGTTTTTCACAACGTGGGGTCTGGATTCCCCAGAAGGAGAGATCCAACAGACCAAGGCACAGGCAGCAACGCCATTCATGACTTGGTCTCAGAAATGATACTCTGTCACCTACACCGTGCTCTCTGTGGGTGACAAAGACCAGCCCAGAGTCAGTGTGGGAGGAAAGAACATAGGAGCATAAGTACCGGGAGGTAAGGACCGTTGGCGTTGTGTTGGAGGCCCGCTACCGTAATGTACGCTACCAAAGCATGGCAAGTCATAATATGCACAGCTGTCCAAGTCCAAATCCCAATAATAGTCTCAGATATGTTTCTCAACATCTTGCCTTTCCTCTGGTATTTAGCCTCTCTCTTCCAAATCGAATTCACCAATTTCCTCCCCTGTGTTTCCCCAATGTTTATAAATGTTTATCTTTGTTGCTAAAAGAAAGCATAGTGTAGCTGAGTTTGGG